CCCCCACACACACACATCCTCACCAGGAGGTGGCGCAGGCGTCCCAACAGGATCTCGTGGGCGGCGCTGAATTCATCCCCTGGGAGGCCATAAACCCTGGCAGCAGCGGTGCGGTGAGGGTGGTGGCTGCGTGGTGGAGGAGAGCGACGTCACTTCCTGCCTCATTGTTGGACAGCCGCCGGGGCGGGGGCCGGGCCTCTTGCCTGCTTTTTGGCTGGCCGCATGCTCCCAAGCCCTTCTATTTGAGCCAGCAGGGCACGGCAGCGTAAAAATGCAATGCGCACCTTTGAGTGAAGCGGCGCACTGCAGGTTTGAAGGCGGCCACGTCCTCTGGTGATGTCATGAAGGCCGCGATCAGCTTCGGGTCCCACAGGAACAGCATGCGCTGCCCAAACCCGAGGTGCAGGCAGAACGCGCCGCCGCCGCCGAAAGAGGCGCGGCAGGACGACAGGAACGCGGCGCCCCAGCGGCCAATCGCCAGCGTGCTGCCGAGCAGCGGCAGGCCGGGGATGTGGGGCGCGCTGCAGCGGTTTGTGTGGGGTGCAACGCCGCAGAAATAGGCGAGCAGCGCGGCTGTGGCGACCGCCGCCAGCGCAACAAGCATTGCAGCCGTATCCATCGCGCATGTAGTGGATAGGCTTTAGGGAGACCGCGCCATGGCAACAGGCTGACAAGCGCGGGCTGCAGATCTCGATCGCTGAACGTTGCGGATCAAGCTTGTCAGCAATACAGGCTGAAGAGGCTCTCTATAGCTCATATCACGGTTCCGGCGTGTTTGGTCAATCACCGCAGGGGTAACCCGTGTGTAACTCCAACAGGTTGACCTGCACGACGCGAATTGAGCTGGAGCGGGAAGCCCTCTTGAGGTATATTCTAAGTACATGACCATCACTGATACCTGCATATGCTCCTAGCGTGGTAGATCACGTAGGAAGGAGCCAAGTGCGTCATTGCCAATGGCTCAGTTGCTGCCTTATATACGAATGTAAGGTGGGTCACACATGCACGTGCAATCCGCGACCAGTGGTGCCACGCTTCCCTTGGGTGCGACGCGCAGCATGTCGGCGTGTTGGCTGGTGATGTGTGCTTGTCGCCCACAACCATGTCGGGCTTCGCAGGCGCTCTTTCGCGCCTTGAATAATTCAAAACATGGTCTGCGATGTAGCGACAAGCGCATCAGCCCATTGTATCCGCAATGTCTGCACGCCTTGGCCCTTGCTGAACAGGCAGCCAGCTGCACAGGCAGCAACCGTCAGCTCAACAGGCAGCGAACTGCGCGCACAGCAAGCAACCATGTCCCTATTCCAAGGCGTGGTCGGCGCCCAGATCGAGCTGTCGCGGCTGGCGCGGCCGCAGGACAAGCTGCTGCGCCTGGGGCGCATCAGCAGGATCTTCCTAGAGGAGATTGTGGGCACGATACGCATGGCGCCGTGAGCAAGCACCTGCCTGCTGCAGCAGCATGACTGGCGGAGGCTGAGCCACCTTGGAGCAGCAGACCACCGCAGCAGCTGGCTCGCCTTGCCTGCATCATGCCGCCGCCGCATTCAGTCGCGAATGTGTGGGGTGCAATTCCGTCGCCAGCACACACGCATTCAACTATCGAGTCACGCGACACGCTGCTTTTGAACGCCCTGCCCCCCGTGCAGCTATGGCGCGCGCGCTCTCGCGCTCCACCGTCGCCTGCCCGCATGGCAGCCACCTCAGCAGCAGCGCCAGCAGCAGCAGCAGCAGCAGCAGCAGCAGCAGCAGCAGCAGCAGCAGCAGCAGCAGCAGCAGCAGCAGCAGCAGGCGGCGGCAGCGGCGCAGTCGGAGCCTCGCATCCACCGGGCCGTGCGCTACGCGACGCACGACGGCGCGGCGCCGCGCTGCACGCTTGACGTCTATGTCCCGCCCGGCCTGGCGCCGGGCGCGCGCGCGTCGGCGCCGGTGGTGCTGTTCTGCCATGGCGGCGTGTGGGCCGCGGGTGCGCGGGGCGCTCCGCACGCGCAGGGGAGTTCGCTCCTGCCGGGGTTCCCTGACGCCTTGTGCTGCCGTCCAGAGGGTGCCGTGCGACTCAGGTCGACGGCGCTATGCAGCTGCAAGGCCCATACTCTTGAACCTCCCCTCTTGCACCTTCTGCCCGAAACTTGCGCTCCTTTACTTACTCTCTCACCCCTCCACCCTTCGTCACCCCGCCCGGTCCCCAGGGGAGTCATGGCACTATGCCCCGATGGCGTCAACCCTGGCCCGCCTGGGGGTTCTGGCCGCAGTCATGCAGGTCAGGTCATGGTTCAAGCCCCTGGTGTTGCATTTTTTGTGTCTGGATGAAGCCCGCCATCAACTTCTGACGCGTCTCGCACGCCAGTAAATTATCCATCTATCTATCAGTCGCGGCTCCTGCTCACCCAGCCGCTGCGCAACAGACCCGCGCGGTAGCCGTCGGCCAAACGTGGTCGACAGCTTCGAAGCGCGGCCGCCTGCCAATTCCCGTTTCATGACGGCCGTTGCCTTGCGACCAGCGCACCTCCCCCCCACCACTTTGACACGCCTCTCCCAAACCACCCTGGGCCGCCGATGGCCACCCCGAACT